CCCCCCTCTCTGATGGGCCAATCCAAGACCAAATTCTGCATTATCGTCTGCGGGCTGGACAACAGCGGGAAGACGACCCTCGTCAACGCCCTCAAACCGCGGGAACGCCGGGCAGGGACGATCACAGCGACAGTGGGCTGCCAAACCGACGAGTTCAGCCTTTCCAAAGTTCATTTCACCGCCTTCGACATGGGCGGCGCGAAGAAGTTCCGCGCGTTGTGGGAGAGTTATTACGGCAGCGTGCAGGGGATTATCTTCGTCATCGACAGCAGCGACCCCCTGCGGCTGTGTGTGGTGCGGGATGAGATTAGCCAGATCGTGGAGCACCCGGATATCGTCCAGAAACGACTGCCGTTTTTGTTCTTTGCGAATAAAATGGACGTGAAAAACTCAAAGGCCCCGATCGATCTCATTCAGACTTTGGAACTTACCAAGCTCATGGCAAATCATTCGTTTAATATTTTTGCGTCGAACGCGCTGACGGGTGCAGGGTTAGTTGAAGGGGTTAAGTGGCTACGAGATGTAATGTTGAAAAAGAATACAGGTAAGAAATAGAACTCATGAAAGGAAGCCGAGCGTGCAGATATCAAAGTGACTAAAAGTAAAAGCGAACCACTACTACAAGTCCACCTAAAGGTCTCATCGCTTATCATTCCTTAATTGCCTGATGAGAAAGGGTAAAGAATCTGCATGGTTTTTCTTACTTGAGTTTTAGTTTTCCCTTTGGGGCAAGGGGTATGGTTAAAACATCCTAAGATTTGCTATTTGATCGTTGGTATTGGTTTTACCCTTGCTGTTGGCTAGCTCATAGTTGCGCAACCTCAAGTACTTGTATATCAATCAAATTGTGTACTAGCCGTATATGTGCATAGAAAAAGATTTAGTTTTTATACTGGTTAGGTATCCAAGAGGGAACGCTAATCTAAGAAGGATACCAGCATACATATAGAATACACTATGTGTTTTTCAAAAAAAACGAAGCGCTTTGCTCATGTTGATTTCCTTCTCGGTGATTTAACTTCTTGAGTATATATTTTTTACTTTTTCTCTCCCTTAACCTCTTCTTCTTTCAATAATGGTATTCTGGGATGTATCCCCCCCCCCCTCTCATAGGAACGTGATCAAATTGTCATTCAGAAAATAGTAAGTAAAAATGGTTCGAAATAGTCCTGGAGGTGAGAACTCGTTCTCGAAAATGAAAAAAAAAAGGAGGAGGAAGTGGCGCCTTTTCTGGGCTGTGAAATGCGCGTGAAGCTGCGGGATGGTCGGGTGGTAGTGGGAACCCTTGTGGCATATCAGGGCAGCGGGGATATTCTCCTCCGTGAGTGCGTGGAGCAGCGGTTTTATAATAATGATGAGGATGAAAACCACCCTAACAACAACACCAACAATGGAAATATGGCGGAAAGGGAGGTGGCGATACGCGGGATCGACCTCCTCGCGATCCCGTTTAAATACATCGAGACCATGCACCGTCGTAAGGAAGGGCAACAGACGATTTGGCAGGAGTTTTCCGCGCAATTAGAAAGGGTTGAGGCGCACTAAAAAGAAGGGGAGTGAAAGCGCTCCGCTTTCTTCTACTCTTTTCATAATAAAGAAAAAAGCTCGTGGATGTAAGATGGAAATTATTGTCGTTGGTAATCGGATAATCCAGGGAAAGAGCAACAATTCAGGTAGGAGAGCTCGGTAAGTGATCATCTTGTGCGGAGTTTTTCTTTGTATTACACTGTCTACCTGTGTTGTTTGTTTTCAGTGGATCCTACAGCACGAATATCTTCTTTACTTTTTCTCTCACAGGTTTCAGCTATCCTTAAGATACTCCAAACGCGTCATATATGTAAAGCAGGAGAAAAAAGCCATAAATGATACTAACAACAATAAATACTGAAGGATCATTAAAACGAACTTATCTTTATTTCTAATCTGTTGGTTAAAAAAAAAAGTCCATCATATATTTATGTTATTATAATATTGATTCGGCGAATAGGCGTCGCATTTCGTGCCCGAGTTATTATAATTGTTTTATTTTTTCCTTTTGTCGAAGTAAAGAGTAGTACCTCTGTGAGAATAATTTTTTCCGTCTTAGCTAAATTTACACCACACTCTTTATTTGTGCGGATTAGTCAAAATATTCTATCCTTATATAAACTTTTTTTTTCGCATTAATCCGCAAAAAATCCTCAAAAGGGGGAATCAAATAAACAAATAAAAAAAGGTAACCCAAATAGATGAACGGCGGATCAGGCGATTTACCCCCAATTCGTACAAATTAACCCTGATAACTCAAAGCCGCCGTTTCTACGACGCGGTCCTGCAGCGGAAGATCGGCCGAACCCACGCCCGTTCCCGCTGTTACACCAACGGCTCAGGTGAATACCACCGATTGGGAACCTCCCCCCCCCCCCCCCTTCCCCTTCCCATAGAGCCCTCGTTATATCTCTTAGCGCGAATTATCGCGGTGGATACCCCCTCCCCTCCCCCCTCCCTTCTTTTTCCCCCAGCAGTAAATGATGTACGCCGTTTTAAAGGTGGCGGCGGTCTTACTGGGCGCGTGGCTGTCGCTACGGGTCGGCACTCCACTCGGGCTCGTGCTCTACGCCGTCACGCTCTGCCTTCTGTGGAACCGGATCTTCCGCGCCTTTCACCTCGCGGGCCCGCGGACGGCGCGGCAGCTCCCCTCCCTCCCTCTTGCGCCCTGTCAGCGCCTCACCGCCGTCGAGCTCGGGCGGGCCTACGCGCTCGGGCAGCTGCGCTGCACCGACGTCGTTGACGAGTACATCGCGCACATCCGCCG